CTTTTCTATTCTTCATTTGGATGATGATGATGATGATGATGATGATGATGATGATGATTTTTATCCCACCTTTTTGGGGAGGGAGTCAACTCAAGGCAGTAAGCATACCTAATATTCCTTACAGTGCTAGAGGTATGAAGGCTTGGAGTTTGCTCAGGAATTTGGCTCACCAGGGCTCTTCATGCTGCATACAGTATAGCAGTGTTTCTCATCTGTGGCAACTTTAAGATATCTGGACTTTAACTCCCAGAATTCCCCAGTCAGCTTGCTAGCTGGGGAATCCTGGGAGTTGAAGTCCAGACATTGCAAAGTTGCCAAGGCTGAAAAACACTGTAGTAGAGTGATAACAACTGACCAGTGAAGTAGCCTTACACTAACACAACAGGAGTAGTACATAAGTGTATGTGAGAGAGACAGAGACAGAGAGAGAGGTAGATACAGCCTTCTTACATTCCTTGTTTTTCCAAACAAATTTAAACAACTGGTTTGATAGAATTGGATCACATTGTCTAGAAAACACCTTGAGTTCAAGACATGTACTCCAGAATGCAGTACATGGAATAATGGATTTAAATTATAGAAAGGCAGATTCCACTTTAAATGCTGGGAAGCATGTTCTTCTAGTAAGGAGCAGTTCAACAGTGGAACCCAGAGAGGGGGTGGCCTCCTTTTCACTATGTGCATCAATTGGAGGCAAAGCCAGCCACCTATCTGGGATACTTCAGTTTGGATGCCCGCACTGCAAGGTGTTGGACTTAGTGGCCAAAATGGCCCTTTCTGGGTCTATTATTCTAGCACTGGTACAATTAACTGATATCTCAAACCTGAAACTATATAAGCAATTTGAAAAAGTCATACAAAAATTGCTTGGTAGTGAAAAGAGGCAGGCAGAGCACTGGTTTCAGGGATTAACGTGTCAATGATTAACAAATCAGTGATTCCTGTGATCAGTCTGCAAATTGCTCTTTTGGATGAATAGCAAAATCACTGGAGTGGGGGGAATAGTTCACTGTTTCTGTAATCACACTTCAGTGCTGTTCAGGGTCTTTTTTGGTATGATTATGACTGCACACAAATGAACACAGTATTTGATCCTTCTTCAGTTATTTTATTTACCCCGTTTTCCAAAACTCTCTCTCCCCCCACTTTTCTTAATATATTATATTCCAATCTTTTATTGTCTTTAAAGAAAATATTTCTTTTCAGTTGAACTAGCTTTTGTTTAGCTATTCTCCCTAGTTCATTTATCCCTCCTTTAAAATATTCTTTTGATTTATTTGACATGATATACATCCTGTCTTTCCTCCAGAACTCAATGCAGCATCCGAGGAGATCTCACTTCATTTTATCCCTACAGCTGTAATCCTGTGAGAGGGGCTGGGCTGACTGGTCTAAAGTAAAAATCACCCAGTGAGTTTTCATGGCTAAGGATGGTCTTGAACTAGATCTTGTCCAGTTTTCATTCAGTACTTTAACTACTACAAATTATTATAGTCATATGTCTTCTGTTTCTT